CTTTCTGCTGCTCTTTTATTTGTATTTTTCTCGCAAGGAAAGTATTAGGGTGTTAGTTAAGCATGGTGTATTTAGAATATCAGCCTATAGGCGTAATGTGACGTTTATATATAGCTGGGCGACCCAATAAATCAGGCATCTCTTAGCTCTGCTGAGGCCCAGGCTGCTTTTTCCATCAATAACACCTGTTTCATCCGAGGAGACGTTTCATTAACAGGGTACAGGTAGAATACATGACAATAATGACAGCATAGGTGAACAATGTGTGATTTTCCATTTCAGGGATATACTTTTACAACAGTGACTTCCATGTATGTGCAAAATGCTTCATTAGTCTGACAGGTATTATTTAAACTCCCCTGCATTCAAAATATGTTTTACACATTGTTACTCTGTTAACATTTAATTTTTATAAAAAATACATTTGGTAAGTGTATCACAAGTCTTCAGGGACAATATTGACAACAATTTAGAAGATGTGAGAGAAAGGAAAATTAATTGAACATTTATTATAAGTTTCGATTAATTTGTTGATTATTGTTTTCAGGGGTGTCAAACTCAAGGCCCGGGGGCCAAATCCGGCCCGCAATCTCATTTTCTGGGCCCCGCAAGAGCTTGCAAAGAATATAACACGTTTATTATACGGTTACATGCCGCTTTACAGAAGCACGTTGCCCATAAACTACATATTCCACGATGCATCTTGTTTTGTGACATGCGCACTGAAGAGACTTGCAATTATTTTCCCTAGACTTCTGCTTTCAGACATAGTTAATTATTACCCAATCCGATAATAATCCAATGCAGGGGCAATAATGTAATATAATACCTTATTTTATATATTTATATATGTATTTTTATATAGTCTTAAAGTTACAACCGGCCCTTTGAGTGCAACCCTAATGCTAATGTGGCCCGCGATGAAATTGAGTTTGACACCCCTGGTTTAGATTAATTCATTCATTATTTGGTCTAAAAAATGTCATAATAGTTAAAAATGTCCATATCAGTTTTTGAAAGTCCAAGTAAGATACATTTCTCGTTTTTTGTGGGACCAAAACCCAAATCAATTCATGTTAATATGCCATAAAGCAGTAAAAAACAGCACATTTTCCAATCTTAAAAGGATGAAATAAACATTTTCTGCCACATAGAAAATTGCTTTAAACAATAAAACTATTATCAAAAGCTATTCTGTATAACTCTGTCCTACATGCAGACTTGCATGAAGGCATGCCATTATTTCTAAACTCAATCTGATTGGGTTCTGTAATGACTTTTTATGAACGCATTTACGAACGCATCGTTATACTGTGCCATAATAACACCCAAGGGCTTATTATGAATGAGTAACCTTGCAGCCTTGCTGGCAGAGAAGTGATGGAAATGTTTTTATGTGTTCACAGGAAGCAGCAGAGGACGGAGGAATGGATTTATCTTCACTCCTGCTTGTTTTATTACATCAGATGCATTTCTCAACAGACTGATGAAAGGCAAAGCAGTGGAGGCAGACGGCAGTTCTTATCGCCTGCCAGTGTCAGTTCTAACAGACAGCGGTAATCAGAGATTTACATCCCTGAACTCATCTGATAAACTCCTGCTGACGCCATTCTGTCGCAAATCCAAAGTTATAAATCCCTTCTTTGTTTCTCTAATGATTTATTTTGTGTGTTTTCAGCTGAACAATTATCCTTGTTAATGAGACATCCAGATCAGCCTGAAAATGCAAAGGTTTTGAAAGTGGCCCTCATAGGGGCCCCCAATGCTGGGAAGTCCACATTGTCCAATCAGCTCCTTGGAAGAAAGGTATGTGTCTTTTAAAACATGTACATTGATATTCATCTGAAGGAGGTGTTCAATGTCTAAAGTCAGTAATCATTTCTTTAAGGTGTTTGCCGTGTCCAAGAAAGTACACACTACACGGTCACGGGCCGTGGGCGTCCTGACGGAGGAGGACACACAGATAGTAAGACCTTCCTCATGTCTCTATTGTTATATTTAATGCCATTCTAAAAACCAAACATTAACCCATTTGTGTATTGTTTTGTAGATCTTACTGGACACTCCTGGTCTCACTACTTTATCAAAGGTCAAAAGGTGCTTTGTTATTTTATTTATATTTTTAATGTCTGTAATCTACATCCAGTTGTATCATAAAATGTAATATGATTGGCTGCTCTGTTTCCACAGACATAATCTGGAGAAGGCATTGCTTGAGGATCCCTGGAACACAGTTAAAGAAGCAGACATAGGTATGATGTAAATGAACTCTGAACCTTTTTATAAGTCGGACCTGAGGTGCACCTTTCTTTATGATTCCATCATTTATCAAAGTTACCATTTAAGAATAAAAAAACAGTGCTGAGTTCCAAGTGTTTGTTATTGTGTCTGTTTTCCAGTGGTGGTGTTGGTGGATGTGTCCGACCGCTGGATGTGCGGCAGGCTCGACTTCGAGGTGCTCAAATGCCTGGCCCAGCACACTGACATCCCTGCAATCCTGGTGCTCAATAAGGTACTCTTCCACAGAATGACACATTCATTACAAGCCTGTTAAATGCTGCTAAAGTAATACATATTGACAGCAAGTTATGGATATAGTTCATTGATTACTGATTGTTCTTTTCAAAGGGCTACATTAAACAGTTAGTCACTGTATCTTTCAACCCCCAGTGCGACTTACTGATGTGTTGTAATAGTAAAAAGTATTGTTATAGTAATAATACAACAGAGGCTCTATGACATACAGGAAGAAGATACTGTACTTTGGATGCATGGGTAATACTTGGGTAGAATTAGGATCAGTTGACAAGAATATAGAATATAGAATATCCCAGACTTTCCTTGCCAACATCCCAGAACATTCAAATGAATGTTAACCTGCACTGAGGAGTCTTCCTGATGTCTTCACTGATGCCCCCATGTGTCTCAGGTGGACCTGTTGAAGACTAAGGACCGGCTGCTGGACATCACAGCAGAGCTGACATGTGGAGTGGTGAACGGACGCAAGCTGCGGGTCAGGACAGTGATCAAGCCTCCGAAGGCTGAAAAGAGGTCCGAGAGGCAGCCAGAGCCATCGCCCGACGAGGCCCCCGCGGGGCTGGAAGGAGACGCTGATCCCAGCTCTGCTCTGAGCAGAGAGCAGCTGAAGGCTCTGAGGAGTCAGCAGGGCTGGGCTCACTTCAAGGACGTCTTCATGCTGTCTTCTGTGGACAAAGAGGACGTTGACACACTGAAGGTACACATTCTACTATGGCAGGTTAAACAGTGATATCCCAGGCAGGCCCATCTGGAGGACAGGATGCATGTTGTGTCATAAATGATTGTATTGTTACACTTTATAAAGATATAAGTTCACCATCAGCAGCAAAACCCTTATAATATCATATTAATACACCACTGTATATATTGGAGTACAATGTGCACATTTTTACTTCTTATTTCTTTCTTAATTTATTCTTTTTATTTGATCTTTTATTGGATATTTTACTTATTTCTCTGTATGTTTTATATGAATATCCTTAATTTATTTAAGTTTTTTATTGCACATTCTTCTTTTTTACTTACATATTTTTATTCTAATTTATTTTTATTTAATCCTTTATTTGACATTTTACTTTAACTACTTTTGTTTAAGGTAATGTCTTTTTCCTTTTCTTTTCTTTACTGATAATAATCATGCTTTTATCTGAATGTTGTAGAACTACTTTATGGTTGCGGCTAAGCCCGGCTCGTGGCAGTACCACAGTGAAGTCCTGACCGACCAGACTCCAGAGCAGATCTGCACCAACACCATCAGAGAGAAGCTTCTGGAGAATCTGCCACAGGAAGTGCCCTACTCCATCACACAGGTGAACCAGTTTACCGATAGATAGACAGAGATCTGACTACACCATCACATCTCCCTGCACTGATCCTGGGGATGACTGAAAGCTGACATGTGCTTGGATTCAGCCATTTCACACTTTGGGATTATTTTCATTGTTTGTCGTCTGTATTTACAGCTACTGTACAATTCCTCAATTTACAATTGTCAATACTTTTTTTGTGTATGTCCAATTGGTGCTGATGATAAATGTATTTAATGGAAGCAATATCTTGCACGGCTAACACAACCTCAGTACTTTGCTGAAGAGGCCCAATTGGCTTTTTGGGGTTTTCCCTTTTCTGTAGGGAGTTTCTCTCCCCCCCCCCCCCCCCCCCCCCCTGCCTAAAACAGTGACACCACTGTGTAACACTCACGCTGCTATTGGCCAGTGCACCAACATATTGTAGGTGATTGGCTAAGAGGTGGGACATCTTTAAATGGTTGACCAATCACAACAGACCCAGCCAGCTAACCAATCAGAGCAGACTGGGCTCTGGTTTCAGACAGAGGGGGAAAAGAGGTGCTGTGAGAAAAATAAAGAGCTTTTTGAACATTAAAGCATGGACACATGTCACAGTAGAGGTACAAATATGAACCTGAAGAAAATCACAATATGTCCTCTACAATATTTCAATCTTTCTGTTTCAGTCTATTGAACTCTGGGACGACGGAGAAAATGGAGAGCTGGATATTTCTGTGAAACTTTATACCAAGAAAGACACTCACATGGTAAGTGCTCTCCACACATTTCTTGGTTTCGAAGATGGGAAGTATCTCTTGTGCTTTAACACATCATTAAAAACTATGTATAGATGCATATTGAAAGTATTGATTACGTTTAGCATACATTTGATTTGACTTGGCTTTAAAAGGCAAATGACACAAGCTGGCAAATAAATGTCAGGTGTAAAATGTGGCCTTCATTTGCCGTGTGTTTTTATCTTGTAAATATTTGAGCAGCCTTTCAAACCATACATATTTGATGTGAGGAATATTTGAAGCTACATCTGCCGTGCTGAAATGTTTCAAGGCTAGTGACCTTTAAGAAGACTGACTCAGACCTTTCCTCAGCTCTTCCATTCAACACAGGAAGGACTTTCACAAATGTACAACTCACAGGGACGAGTCAACAAAGGGATCGAAATATCATTTATTTGATGAATATCTCCTGAGAAAAGGCTATCTTGTCAAGATTTCTTTAAATGAATATTAAATATATATGTTGGAGGTCACTGCAGCCTTTTAGAATGCTTCAGGGTGAAACGGATTATGGCTATTTTATAGAAACTGCATAAAAAAGAACAGCTGTATTTGTTTGAACCTAATGTCCTTTTTTTGGTAAATCTTCAGATATCATTAAACTATTTTCCACAGGGTCCTTTTTATTTGTGTCTTTCAAACCTGCATTACTGACAGATACACAATATGTTCCGCTCCCTGACACGGCTGTGCTTCTTCTCTCCACAGCGGATGGTGATCGGGGCCGGGGGCCAGATGGTGGGCCGCATGGCCCGGGAGGCCGGAGAGGACCTGAGCCGAGTCTTCCTGAAAGACGTGAGGCTGAAGCTCTCTGCCAAGCTGAAGGTCTGAGGAGGGTAGAAGCACTTTAATGAAACAGATCCTGCTGGATTTAAGATCCCTCTTGGCTACGCAAAGACGGACATGAAAAGAGGAACTAGAGAGAGGACTCTGCTCATGAGTGGAGCTGTATGAAGACATGGACCTGTTTGAAGGAGAGAAAGAGGACTGTTGAAATTGCATCTTCTGTCTACCTGCATCAGCAGCAACCTTTCATGCAGTCTCAGAAGATACTATTAAAGCTTTGTACCCTCTAAGTTGCTGTTATTATGGGGGTAGAAAACTAAGGAGTGCCTTTACTAACTTTAGAGACATTTAACACATCGGTAAAGTGCCATTTAAGGACTACTACACCCACAAAATAATAATTTGTATATCAGTTACTCACCCCGTTACCTTGACGAAAGAAGTCTGGATGAAGTAAATTAAATAGGTTCTGTGTTTGAGAAAAGCAAAACTATATTAAAACCCCCCTAACTTAATAATCCAAGTTCTAATTCTAAAGTTTAAAACACTGTTTATGTGGAAGTCTATGAAAAAGGTCATCAATTCATCTAGGCTTTTCTCTGTTTCTTAATTCTAGGTTCAGATAACGGGGTGAGTCATTGATACACACATGATGAATGTGTGAGAGTGGATCTGTGAAGGTAGCATTTATTTAGCAAAGATGCATTTGAGGCAGCGAAACATGACACAGACTCTCATCAGATGGATGTTTTGACACGAGCCTGACAGGGCGTTCATGGCTGAGCAGGTTTGGCGAGCTTTGAAAAGGCCTGATGGTTTATCTTTGGCTCTCAGAGCTCTTTACTTGGCGGGCCCTGCACCGTCATGTTCACTCAGACGTCCCTGATGCACCATCCTGTTCCCTCCACTCCCACATCACTTTAGCCTTCTCCACCGCCTTTGAAGTGTGGCCATCCGTCCCTGAGACTATCACTTTATGTTCCGCTGCTTTCTTCCCTTCTCCTCCTCCTCCTCCCTTGCTTGTTTGGCTCTTATAAAGCCCGGCTCTGCCCCCGAGGGTGAAATGGTCTCCCTTAATGGCTGGCAGTATGGAGCACTAACCTGATGCTAAAATGGGTCAGATAATGGTGATTGGATTTATCCCTGCTGTCTGTGAGTTAACTTGACGGTTTCTCTATCCGGGGCATCTTGATGAATAACCAGCTAGTGGCCTGAAGCAGGTGGTTGGGGGGGGGGGGCCTTGAATGTCTCACAGAAGCCCTTCAGGCTCCCCTTGCTTTCTGCGACGCCTGCTCCCAACTGATTAGATAAGACGGTTGCGCGGCAGAGATCTTCACTTAGACAAGCCAACTGCTGCTTCCAAATACTACAGAGTCATCTTCAAACAGGATATTTAGGATGCTGACACATACACACACACTTTGCACAAAATAACGAGACACTTGTTCGTTTGGGAGCAATAAGCTTTATTTTACGCACATGAAAAGATGTCACTGTCTTGTTCCTGGAGGTCCTGATGACATTGAGCGAGGGCCGTATAACCCTTACCCTAACTGAAAATCAGTAATGGTAACGGTTTGACGGCCCCCCCCCAGAGCAGGCAGTTAGGAGCCAGTGTGCGCGGATTGAGCCGCTGGGAGAATGAAAACCCTGGATAGTACATCATCTATACTGTAGTGTCTCTTTATTAAACTTACAGTATAAGATGATATCCTGTCCGGGGCACAATACATAACAACCAGCAGAGGGATCCTGACGGGGGTCTGCGGGGCAAAGGGAGAGGGTCATTAGGGAGGCAGTGAAGGTCAACCAATGAAATGTTAATTATATGCTAAAAATGCTATTTAAAAAAAGGCAAAGGCATGTATGCGAAGTGAATAATATGTAATTAAAAAGAATCCTTAATTAAAAAGGCTGGGATTTAGTTGCATAAATGAATTATGTGATTATTGTTTTAATTTTCAAACAAATACAACTGCAGGTATACAACAAATAAATAAGATGAAGAAATAAAATAATTATTTAAAAATGTAAAAAAATAAGTAAACAATGTTTACTATTTGTTTTTGTATTAAAGTAATAAACCAACAAAAAATATGTAATTTTAAAAAGATCCTTAGTTACAAAGGCTGGGATTTTGTTGTATAAATGAATTATGTAATGTTGGTTTTACAAACAAATACAACTAAATAAATATAAACAACAGACAACAAATAAATAAGATAAAAAAAATTAAATAATTACTTACAAATGTAAAAAAATAAGTAAACCATTTTTGTTTAAACCAACAAAAAATGATATCCTATGTTGGCAAAATAAATTTAAAAAAAACATCTTAAATTCTACACAGCCTCCCTCTCACCTGCTGCAGGGCCCCCGGCTGCGTGAGGCCCCAGCGACTCCCCCCCCTCTCTCTCTCTGTGTCACTCACCTCCCATGCAGGGTGCCATCTCTCATGTTCCGCTGACACTTCCCTTCACGTGCTCATGCGTTATGGCCTCTGTGTCCCCGTCCTCGGCTCCTCACTGCTCTGCCTGCCGGGCCCCGACACTTAAAGGCTCCCGGCTCATTAGCATACCGTGAGGACATCTGGGGGGGACAGACAGAACGTGGGGGGGGGGGGGGGGGGGCTTTCTCTTATCTGGTCCTAACCTGACCGTCCACACCCTCAGAAAAACACCACAGTGTCAATTTTATTTTTCAGTAAATATACTTTTATTAAAAATGAGAAGCAGGAATCGTTGATTAACACCTTTCTTAACCTTAATTATAGTCAATTATAGTGTCATTTTATACCAAAGTTGGCTTTACTATATACATAAAGCCGTTTAACAGCATCATATGTTGTATCTATGTATGTATCTCATTATCTATCGATATTTCTTTATTCATTATGTTTGTATTATCGTCTAGTCTACCCATACATTTCAACATTTTAAAAGTATAATAAATACTAGAAATATCATTTTAAATTCACACCAGATTCTCAGAAACAGGTTTATAATTTGTTTTTATATATTTACAAATACTTACACAAAATGTACTCTTTTTAAAGGATATTTTTTTGGAGCCCTCTTTACCATTGTCTGAAAAGTATTGAATTGAAACAATATTACATTCATACACTAGATGACCTGCTCCTAATATTGATATTCATTTGACCCCATTTGCATACAGGCCTTTATCTTTTTGAAACAGCACCCTTACCATATTTAATGACCCTTTCTCGGTCTGATGAAAGCACCCAGCAGTATGAGTTTCTCCATCATGTATTTAAAAGGATTAGAGCTTTATCTCCCGGTGTGGTGATACATCTTGAAGTCCTTTGAATCTCGTGGCCCTGGGATTTATGCGTGATGGATTCATGCATTGGAATGTAATGCTGCGATGTGTCAGCTGATGTCATGTTATCTGACTTATTAAACTATTTTGCATGCGCTCAGCTAGATCCCAGGATATGAAGAGCTGTGTTTTTTATTAGATATGTCACAGGGACACCGCACGTCAAATTCTCAGCATCAAATGATGTCCTGACTGTGAAGCGGTGCAGTTTGTCTCTTAAATAACAGACTGTCTTTGAGAAGAAATACGTCTTCAGGGGGGCTCGGCTCTCTGAAGTCATCTTTCACAATAAAACACATTGACTATACAGTTAAGAAAGTGGTCAAATTGTTATGGTTGAGCAGCGCAGGGAGGACCCAAGTGAAGACAGGCGATAGTTCAACAGCAAAAAAACTTTATTCAAGGCAACAGGATCAACAACAAAAACAGACAGGAACTCTATCTCCCTCTAAGCACAAAAAGGAACCCACAAAACCCCAACAGAAAACAAGAACTTAAATACACACATGGCCAATCAAGACACAGCTGGGGAGGGGAGGGAAAACACAAAGACATAGGTGAACAGAATCAGGTAATCACACAGGAGGGAAAACACAGACAGGAAACAAATACACACATGACAGACAGGGGGTGAACATCCTTGAATGAAAAACAGGAAGTCGACAGTCCTAGACAATTCCAAAATAAAACATAAAATAAACAGATCCTAACATAATTCCCCCCCTCAAGGGACGGATCCCAGACGTCCCTAAAAAGGTCAAGAAGGGCGGATGGAGGGGATCTGGAGGAGGGATCTGGGCAGGGGGCACGGCAGAGGTCGAGAAGGGGGACTCGGGTGGACAGCCCGGGGGCAAAGCAGAGTCCACAAAGGGGCGAAGGCCACAGCCGGCGAACTCAGGGGGCCGGGCATGAGGGCGAAGACCGCGGCACTCAGGGGGCCGGGCTCGAGGGCGAAGGCCACGCCACTCAGGGGGGCGGGCTCGAGGGCGAAGGCCACACCACTCAGGGGGGCGGGCCCGAGGGCGAGAGCCGCGGCCGGGAAAGTCAGGGGGCCGGGTTCGAGGGCGAAGACCGCGGCACTCAGGGGGCCAGGCTCGAGGGCGAAGGCCACGCCACTCAGGGGGGCGGGCTCGAGGGCGAAGGCCGCGGCTGGGGAACTCAGGGGACCGGGCACAAGGACGGGCAGGAGCTGGTGGAACCCCTGGCGGGTCAGGCGCAGACGGGACCCCGGACGGAACATGGGCCAGTGTCAGTGGGACCCACGACGGAGCAAGGGCCGGTGTCGACGGGACCCCAAACAGGACAGGACATGGCGTTGGCAGGAAACCCGGCGGAGCAGGTGTCGGTGGGACCCCAACAGGACAGGTCCTGGTGTTGGCAGGAAATCCGGTGGAGCAGGTGTCGGCTCGGCCCCCAACTAAACGGGTGTCGGCGGGACAGGTGTCGGCGGGACCCCCAACAGGTCAGGGCACGGAGTTGGCAGGACTCCCAGCGGAACCCCCAACGACACAGGACATGGTGCTGGCAGGACCCCCAGCGGAACCTCCAACGGACCAGGACATAGGGTAGGGACTTGAGAGGGGACTCGAGAGGGGACTGGAGAGGAAACTCGAGAGGTGACTCGAGAAGGGACTTGAGAGGGGACTTGAGTAGGGACTTGAGTAGGGACTAGAGGAGGGACTAGAGGAGGGACTAGAGGAGGGACTAGAGGAGGGACTAAAGAAGGGAATTGAGTAGGGACTTGAGGAGGGACTAGAGGAGGGACTAGAGAAGGGAATTGAGTAGGGACTAGAGGAGGGACCATGGCTGCTGGGGCCGGAACCAGGGCCTGAACCATGGCTGCTGGGGCTGGGACTGGAGCCGGAACTATGGCTGCTGGGGCTGGAATCCTGGCCTTGCGTTTCCTTCCATGCTGCCTTGAAGCCTTGTGGAGGCTCAGAGGTCCTCCAAAGGCCAGACGAGACCCAGCTAAAGGTTCCTTGAAAGGAGCCTTGTTGGGAACTGTGGCCGGCAGGGGGCTAGCATGCCATGGGCTAGCAGGCCAGGAAACAGGTTTGACCTCAAAGCTACCAAAAAAGTCCTCCACCCACTCGGGTAGTAACTCCCCTAACCAGGGCCTTGAGGTTA